TATAATCTATCATCCAGTTACTGCAACTTTACTTGCAATGAAAGTCAAAGGGGTCTAAATGAGGTTTGAGGGTGGGAACTTTTTACTTGCCACTAAAACCCACTGGGAGCACCTTAGCAACTGCATCTTCAAAAAAAAAACATTTGTGTTAACCATCAAATAGCATGTGTTAAATTGTTTTGTTACTGTTAATCGGCACTTCCTGCAGACTGAACTGCAACAGTTGTCAACACTGTCTAAACCAGAAGTGCAGTGTCTCAAGACACAAAGTCAAACATCTTTTAACTTAATGCATTAAAAGCCCCCCACCCCAGTTCTGTTCCAATCTTATACTGTATGTAACTACACATTTATAACACACATACACTACCAGTCAAAAGTTTTTGAACAGTAAGATGTTTAATGTTTTTTAAAGAATTCTCTTCTGCTCACCAAGCCTGCATTTATTTGATCCAAAATACAGCAAAAGCAGTAATATTGTGGAATATTTTTACTATTTAAAATAACTGCTTTCTATTGAATATAATTTAATAATTTGAATATAAATTAATGCTTTTATTTAACAAGGATGCTTTAAATTTCTATTTCAAACGATTTCTATTTCAGATAAATACTGTCCTTCTGAACTTTCTATTCATCAAAGAAACCTGAAAAATTCAACATCATAATAATGATAATGATAAATGTTTTTTGAGCAGCAAATCAGAATATTAGAATGATAAATGTGCTTCTGCCCCCATCCAACCTGACAGAGCTTGAGAGGTGAACAGGTAAGGTGAAGAATGGCAGATAGTTGCAAAATGCTGATGAGCAAAGCTTGTTGCATCAAACAAAAAAAAAAAACTTGAGGCTGTTAAGGTGCTTCAGCTAAATATTAAGTTAAGGGTATAAATACTTATGTAATGTACTTATTTCAGTTTTTTATTTTTAATAAATTTACGAAGTTGTGACAATGAATATAATTTAATAATTTGAATATAAATTAATGCTTTTATTTAACAAGGATGCTTTAAATTTCTATTTCAAACGATTTCTATTTCAGATAAATACTGTCCTTCTGAACTTTCTATTCATCAAAGAAACCTGAAAAATTCAACATCATAATAATGATAATGATAAATGTTTTTTGAGCAGCAAATCAGAATATTAGAATGATTTCTGAAGGATCATGTGACTGGAGTAATGATGCCAAAAATTCTGCTTTGAAATCACAGGAATAAAATATATTTTAAAATATATTCAAATAGAAAACAGTTATTTTAAATGGTAAAACATATTTCTAAATTGCACTGTTTTTTCTGTACTTTGGATCAAATAAATGCATGCTTGGTGAGCAGAAGAGACTTCTTTTAATAAAAAAACATAAAAAAAATTTCACTGTTCAAAAACTTTTGACTGGTAGTGTATAATCGCTATTTCACATTAAATTAAGCCAAAAACATAGTCATATTGATAAACACTGATTAAGATTCACATTAACAGCATCTTCTCCTGAAATCCCCAGTGGAGATCCATTACACATTGTTTGGCATGCTTCTTGAGCGTGAAAGAGAGCTCTGTCCCCATCTACATTTCCTGCCGGTATTGAAAATCAAACCTGCAACCTTCGGGTTATTAGTCTGACTCCCTAACCATTAGGCCACAACTGCCCCTATAATTATTCAACACTTTAAATGTGAAGGAAGTGCACTTTGTATGCTTGTCTCTCTGCTTTGCTTTTATTGTGTTCATATGTCTTTACAGATGTTGGAACGTAACTGGTTGACCATTAGAGATGAAGCACTGTCAGTGTTAGACGGCACCAGTGGACAGTTCTCGCCTGAAGATGAAAATCTGAGAGAGACAGGAGACTGGGGCCAGTTTACACTGTGGCAGCAGGGTAAAATGTGAAATTAATGTATAATATCCACCAGCATGTACCTTAGATTTACCAACAAATTCCTTATATAATTGCACTGGATATGCATCCATCCACCTGTTTCCCAACAGCTTGTCCTATGTAGGGTCACAGGGATGTTAGCGCCTAACCCAGGATTTTGTTTTTAGTGGTTCTTGCTTTTTTAAGGTGCAGTCACATTTACCGTTGCTCTGCAAAATTTTGCATCGCAAATCCATTAGGAATCTGTGCGATCAGGGGTGAATTCACAGCGTTGACCAACAAAACCCTGCTTAATTTAAAAGTGACTTCTTTGTGAGCAGTTCTTAATACATCTTAACCTTTTTTGATTCTAAAGTTCCTCTGTAATTAAGACCACACCTTTATTCAGAAAACCATTGGTGAGCACAAAATTATTTAAATGAGCAAATAACTTTACATGTAATCCACATGGTTTTTCAACTACAAGTTAAAACAGAGTCACTTCATTTAGCAACCTAGTGTGGATTTCTTTGAATATGCTAAAGTCTTGGGTGGTGTTACTGTTGTTGTTTTTTTTAATGTGTAATATTGAGACATTTTTGGGGAAAACACAATGTGTATGCAAGTTTTACTCTTTCTCAGGTCGAAAGGTTGCTGATTCATGTCGCCATGTCCCTAAAACCTGTGGTTTGCTGGAACGTTACCCAGAGGCCACTAGCTGCAAAAGAGGCCAGGTCAGTCACCAGAAATCAATTACAGTTGTACACTCTTGCCTAGCTGTACTTTTAATTTAGCTTCACCATGTCTCCTTTTTACAATGCTTATTTCTGTTTATGAACTGTTGCTTATTAACAGTTGCCTACTCATTTAAATCTTCCTCTTTTAGATAAAGTTTTCAGTAATGCAAGTTGGTACTCATGTATGGCCTCACACTGGTCCCACCAACTGTCGTCTACGAATGCATCTAGGCCTTGTCATCCCTTCTAAGGGATGCAGGATTCGTTGTACAAACCAAACCAGGTCAGTTAAATCATAGAAACACAAGTTTACACACTTTGATTAAAACTGCATTAACTACAAAGCTTTTAAAATGTTTCACTATTGACAGCTCCATTTCCACTCCAACTAGTTGGTTACAGGGTTTTAAATGAACACTTGACAAGCATCAAATGTAAATAAAAAATTGGCGAGTAGAAGAACTTTGATAGTTGGTTTATTTCATTTTTATTTATTTATTTTTGGAATTCATGTGTGGCATGGCTTTTATTATTTAAAAATGTATTCAGTGAATGTTGATTGTCTTTCAGGGAGTGGGAAGAAGGAAAAGTGTTAATATTTGATGACTCGTTCGAGCATGAAGTCTGGCAGGAAGCAGAAAGCTACAGACTCATCTTTATTGTGGATGTCTGGCATCCAGAACTCACCCAATTACAGAGGCAGACTCTGTCACCAATATAGACGATTTGTACAAAAACTGAGTTTTGAAAAGTAGGTCAACCGCCAGTCGGAGTGACAGATTTACTGTCCTTAGCCAATCACAGATTTCATGAATCACAAATATCTATTGTGCTGTCCTGTGGGTACTGATTACAAGGCAATGTGAATGTACAAGTCTTATAAAAAACAATCATGCTGATAGTTGTAAATATTATAAGTGTGATTTTTGAAAAACATAAAGGATGGATTTAGAAGTTCAAGGGTTTTAAAAAGACAGTTCACCTAATATTCAATATCTTAATTCTGGTAAAGCAAATACGATTTGTAATCATGTTTCAGAAGCATGTTTTAGGGCTCAACAGTAAACAGTAAAATGAAAGATACAATAAAGATTAAAACATACATTTTGAGATTTATATCTTAGGTTAAGACTGAAAGGTTACCTTTAGTAAAATAACAGTACAATGAGATGCATGTTATGGGACCAATGAAGAGATCAGAATATTAGAGAATGAGTTGCATTTGCTCTTTCTTTCTGGAAAGAAAGGAGACCTCAGTCACTTTTTATAGAAATATGATTGAACATTGCACTGTATGTTGTGGGTTACTTTATATAATGTGTCCAGGTGAATACATAAATGAACAGATGTGTTAGCTATAAGAGATGAGTGCACAGCCATAAAAAAAATCACTTTGTGCCTTTTCCAACCTTGAAACCATTCTATTAAGGTGTAACGTTTTGTTTTGTTTTTGTGAAATGTGATGTGGATATGTTTTCTTCAGATTCACTGCAAGCACACATTTTATTAACACTACAAATTCTACATGATTTTTGTATACATGCTAGTTTACATAATTTTATCGTGAAAATGTTTGTTCTTTGTATCGTTTGGGAAGTATTCCATTTTGATATGTCTGAAAAGAACAATAATAATAATTTATCTCAATTATAACACAATTAAAAAGAAAAAAAAACACTAATAAAGACATCAGTACATTTAAAGAATTCATCTAATGAAAAAAATAGATCTGTTCAAATGCACTTTGAGGTCCAGTGTATTCAGGTTTGTAGTTATAGATCAAAGCTTTTTCCTCTTCCTCTGTACTAGGAAAGCTGTGAAAACTTTTCCTCGCTGTAAAAGCAACAAAATAAGGAGAACGGTTACTCTGTGAAGGTCTAACTTCTTAATTTGTTAATTCATTGCATTAAAGGAATCAAATTTAACTAGGAGCTAATAAAAACACATTGTATGTTGCTCAGTAGTATTATTATTATTAACCATACCTTCATTTACAAAAAAGTAAGCCATGTAGAATGTGGTCTTAATGGCTGAAGGTGTGTGGGGAATATAGGGCCGAGTCCACTCAAAAGCATTTTTCTCTGGATGCCATTGAGTAGCGTAGATAGGGAAATCATATGCTGAGGGTATGCATAAAAACAGTACAATGACAATGTTGCTCAATAGAAAGAGGCAAAAACCACAGTCTATATCAGGGGTCACCAAACTCGGTCTTGGAGGGCCGGTGTCCTGCAGAGTTTAGCTCCAACTTGCCTCAACACACCTGCCAGGAAGTTTCAAGTATGTCTAGTAAGAGCTTGATTAGCTGGTTCAGGTATGTTTGATTAGAGTTGGAGCTAAACTCTGCAGGACACCGGCCCTCCAGGACCGAGTTTGGTGACCCCTGGTCTATATGCTTCCTCTATCAATCCATCTGATTATCATCATCACTCACCTTCCATTGTGGACACAAACTCATTTTGTCCATCTGTGTTGGTACTTAAAACTCTGTAGAACTTTTTCAGGGTCTCACTCTTGGTAAAGTTCTAGATTTAAAAGTTTGAAAATGCCTCATTTTATTTCATCCAGCAAAAAACAAAAATATACATTAAATCCATTACATGTGATATGTTCTTTTTTTTTTTTGTACATTACCCTTTAAAATGAACATTGCCATGCATCATATTAATATTGCAGTATTGAATATATTTCCCTGTGAGAACTAAAACAGTTCACCAAATTGACCATATTTCTATCACAGACATGATGTTGTGCATTGGCGTGTATACTGTATACCAAATAATGTCTGGTGATACTGTAAAGTAATAAACTATTACTACATTCAATTAATACATTCCAAACAATCAAATGTATTAGACATTGTTTTCTAAGATGTGAGGGTGTATTCGTTTCCTGTTGTGTACAACTGGTTACCAGTAAAGCATACAATATTAAATTGAAAGTTTAAAGGGGTCATATGATGCTTTTTTAAATATCATTATTTTGTGTATTTGGTGTAACAGAATATGTTGACATGCTTTAATTTTCAAAAAACACATTATTTTTCAAATACTGTACATTATTGTAGGTCCTCTATGCCCCGCCTCTCTCAAACGCTTCGTTTTCTACAAAGTCCCTCCTTCCGACAAGCGCAGTCTGCTCTGATTGGCCAGCTGACCCAGTGCATTGTGATTGGCCGAACACCGCAAGCACTCGTCGGAAATGTAACGCCCCTTACCATAATCGCGAGCTTCATCTTTCAAAATAAATGTAAAGACAGAGCCCGAAAGAGGAACAGTCGCGTGACAGACACAGTGATGAAGCTGGTATGTGTTTGCAGTACACAAGCCACGGTTGAGACAGCTGACTCCACTGTGATCTCTCTCTCGCTCTCACACACACACACGCGCACGCACACACACACACAATGCGCAAAACTCTGCATTTGAACAGTCAATAGCAAATACTTAAACTAGTAACAAAACATACTTCAAGCCCGAAAGGGGAACAGAGTTCTATTCACAATCAGCTTGTAACACTCCAAAGAGAAAGGAAAACTTGAAATCGCATATGACCCCTTTAATAAAAATGTAACACTAACTTGTTAATCATTTCTATTTTAATAACGTTAATTTAATCACTTGTTTATACATTTTATTATAAAGCAGGAATCAAGAGACTTATTTATTTTTATTGCCATACCAGCATCTATGCCTATTTTCATGGCAAGATCAATGCATTTTAAAACAAGCATCTAGTAGTAACACAGTAGTAATGAAAACAACAATTGATTGTTGTTGAATGGTGATAGTAATATTTGCTACTCTACCTCTGTAGTAAGACTCCACTGATGAGAGTTCTCTGTGAGCGGTTCTGTTTCCAGTGATTTCATAAGATCTTCAGGAAAATCTTTGAACAGTCTACTGTCTCTAACATCTAAACAGCATTGGATAAATGAATAATATTTATACATCTATGATGACTACGACACTTATTCTTAAAATAGTTTCACTTATTTGAGAAATGTATACTAGCTGCACTGCAGTGGCACCATGATAACTACATGTTACATCACAGAGTACCAAGCTAATAGTCAATTTTTGTGAAATTCGTGACTGGAAGTAAGCTGACAATGTTACTTGCATTAACCATTATGTAAATATATTTGATTTTACAGTTAATTGTTATAAAACATGGCTTTACCGTCTGTGAAGTTCAGTGGCAAGGCAATACCACTAGTGTTGGTGTGGGACAACAGCAACTTCCCGCTTGTTAGCAATGTGAGAAGTTCAAATCCTAAACAGGTTCCCCATACAGGGAAATAATCACCATTTGAATTGGCCTGTTAACACACAAACATATCAATAAATTGGCTGGAAAATTAAATTACACCAACATATTGTATTCCTCTTACACCAACATAAGTAAGAGGAATGCCAAACAACAAAATGCAGTGTATATGTGTGTAAAATGAAGATCATTATGACTCTTCATGAATTTGTCCATTGCTCAGAGGTTAAAGTTTTACCAGCCCTCTTTTATAGCTCATACACACAAATAACAAAATTGACTATAACCCCGAAGTCTGACCTCTGCAGCTCCATTTAAAATTGTACTTTATTTCAAAATGTCTACAAATTTAACTCATTTCTATTTTACCTAACTATCAATGCTGCTCAAGTGTTGCTTAATGTTATGTTAATGTACTTTGGATACATTGTCATGCTGAATATTTGTACCAAATGGACCATTTGTATACAAACCTCAAGAGCAAGTCTGTAGAAAATGCCAGCTGCTTTGGAATAGCCAGATGATTCTAAACTGACTCCACCTCCAGGAAAAAGGACTCTAGAGAGAGAGAAAAGGTGTCACAAATCCCTTATTGTATTCACTGCTATAATTATACAAATACTTTACTTACCCATTTATGGATTTGAAGAGCTTTCTGTACTCATCATCAGACTTATTTATCCTAGACATTTTTAAAAAAATAAGTTGCAATTTTGTGAAAATTGCAGTCTTGCACATTCACAAAAAAAAGGCTTACTTCCGCGTTGAAAAATAAGGTGGATAGAGAGCAGAGGGCTCTTTATGCTGCTTTATTCATTCATTAATTAAAGCAGAGCTATGTAACCTTGTTTATAAACTTTAAGACATGGCTAAGTTGTAGTCCATTTTCTTATATAAATGATATTTCCCAACTAAAATAAACAGTTGTATAATAACATAATACCATTGCAATAAATGTTACGTACTAAAAAAAAAAAATAATAATAAAATACTATGTATGAATGAGTTATGTTTCACATTCCATATTGCTTCTACTTTCACAAAATTCTAGGCAGTATGCAGTACGCTAGTTACGAACTCGATGTTTATGCTGCAAGTGGATAAGGAGAACAAACACTATTTCTCATTTTAAATAAATAAACCCTGCATGTTTACATTGAAGGCATTTCTCTATAGTGTTTTATCTTACATCAGAGGCACAACACGAGCGCCAGCAGATTCCAGAAACTTAACGTAGGACGCCGCAATATATGAGTTTCTATGAGGCGGCGGGTCATACACTTCCTGGGCAAGAACACCTAGACAAGATTTAGACATGGTTTACTTCATGAAATATGTAATGATAATACAGTTGAAAGTGGCACGCACTCTATTTAATACAGCGTTGCAACTCACCTATTATTGGTCTTTCATTTGTTTTTATTGGTGTTCCGATATGGTTAGCAAACGCGGCATTTGAAAATGTAAAAAGGCAGGCAAGGTAGATGTGAATCATGTTTTCTTTAGACTGGAAATGTTGTGCTTCCCCGTGTGACAGTTCCAGATCGCTTCCGCGTTTGACATCACGTGTTTGGGTATTTTTTAAAGGTATCTAACGAATGTTACATCAAAAACAGGCAGTTAATAATAATAATAATAATATTTAATATACTAAATAACTGATCTAGACAGTATTATTGGATGTAACGTAGGGACATTACATTGTAAAGATCATAAATGGTTAAAATTAAATGAAAATATGTTTAATAATATTTTTTTCAGTGGCTCTATTTGTCATTTGTTTGAGTGACACCTACATTCCGTTCATGGAGTTAATGCACGCAAAACTGTAAAACATTAGGAATAGATCCTTGTTACTGTGATTTGTGTAATATTACCTCGGCATTCAACTGAAAGTGTAACAGGTTTTCTGTTAGGGGTAGGTTTAGGGTTAGGTTTGGGTTAGGGGATAGAAAATATAGAAAATATCGTATAAAAGTAATAGAAGTCTATGGAAAGTCCCCACAATTCACAGAAACAAAGGTGTGTGTGTGTGTGTGTGTGTGTGTGTAAAATCTTGGTGACCATACGAGACTTCTTTCAAAAACATAAAACAGCTTGGAAGTCTGAAACATTATGGCATATTTACTTGATACTACAAAATAATGCTAAAATCATTGCTTTGTGTTCATTTTAGTGAGGGGATGTCATCTGGTACTGGGAAATGAAAAAAGAGGGCAGCTGACTGAGATCAGAGGCCTACCGACCTGTAGAAATGGCAACCAGTGGGCACTAAATAAACAGTGCTTACCCTGCCACTGCCAACCTCAACACACATTCAGATCTCCCAGTGTTGTTTGCTTTTCTCAACTGCTTCCACATGTCTAAGGCTTCCTTCACGAGTACTCATAATTATAAACCAGTCATCTTTTGAACATTTTTGAGGCGGAAACAACCTAGTTTCAGAAACTAGCGATGCATGCCAAGGGTCTACAACATCATACTGTTCCCTTGAAGTAAACTGTTTAAACATACTCAGAGCAAACAACATGCAAAGAT